TTACGTTGATTGCAACACTATTAACCAAGTTGTATTTTTTAACTAATTGATTATGCTTGGCTAATGATGTTTGGTCAATTACCCATCTTCCCTGATTATTCGGTCGGTTTCGGAACCCTCAATTTTGCCCTCTCCTTAATCCTTCACCGCCATCACTATCGCGGGTATTCCTGGTTGACGAAATAGTTGGAACGCTTTGGTAATTGAATTGATTGGCTCCATTTTCCAAAAAGCGACGAATTCCGTCGGCATTAGTGACTTTGAAATTGCCTGCTATGATAAGAGAATCGTAAAAGTCTTCTCTGCTGACAATGACATATAAATTTTCCTTATTTAGATAGGTTTCATTGCCAATTAAACTATTTAATCCTTTATCATTCGGAGCAAAAGGAAATTCAGTGCCTGAACAAAAATTCTGCCGACCAGGAAAAGTAATTGCTTCCATGTTATCTCCGTTAATTTTCATGCTTCTGTTTAAATGATAAGTAGCGGTTTGGTGTCCGATATTTACCGGAACTTTGCCGACGCAACCATAGTAACCATCCACCGTTCAAAAAGCAAGATAATGCTCGCTGGGATGACCATTTTCGTTTATTTCAATTTTCTCTACCTCCATTCCGCCTATTTCCCCACCGGGTTGAATGCGTTCAATATTGCGATAGGTTCATTCTCAACTAATTTCGCCATCTTGCAAATCAGTGCCTTGAAAAATGAAAAATGGCTGCTGGGGATTTTCGTTGTTTTGTCTAATTGCCTCGGCTAAATTTTCAATGCCCGGAGCCCGCTCATTAATGACAATTCCGCCAAAACTTCCCCGAATATCTCAATTTCTAATTCCGTTACTTTCGGTTATTCTGTGGCTGACATTTCCTAAATCATTTAAATCGATGTCTTGAATAGTAATTGTATCTCCGACACGAAGTTCGCCATTGTAAGGGAGAGAAATGGCGTTGATTATTCCCATTCTTTCCGCTTCTAAATTAATTGCTTTTGTAAGTCATTTTTTTCG